CCCCAAAACCCCAAAACCCCAAAACCCCATTTTGGAAGGAAAATTGAAAATGCGGGGGAAATTAAGCAGTTTTAGGAGATTTTGTACTTTAGATATGACCACAAGGCACCTCCGAATTTGGCAATGAAGGGGGTGAAAAAGGCCACGAACAGAGCAAGTTGGAATTCGATAGGGAAGTCTAGTTGCTGGTACATCTCTTTTGATATTATATTTTCAGTTCTTTCCATTAGGATTATTTGCTTTACTGGAGAGTTTTTATATAATTCTATTTTCTCTCGAGCTTGATCAGAATCAGAAAGCTGGCCAGTAGAGGCAAGATGTTGTAGAGCAATCTTCGCATGAGTTGATCTTTGTATTTCCTTAAATATCTCCATTTCGTCATGAAAAAAATCCTCTCCCATCTCAAGCCGAATGTTTGCAACAGAAGCAGCCCTCTTAATCTGCAGATTAGGAGTTATACTCAGTAGGTTTAGTGTAAAGAAGCTAAGAAGTTCTAATGCGGATTTTGCATCCAGTTTCTCCAAAGAATGTATAATTGCATACTTGTGATCATTTGTTTTTACATAATTGTAACCTTCAGACGCCTCCGAAGTTAGGTATATATTCAAAGATGTAAATTGCTGTGGTAAATCTTGAGTAACATAATTCCTGACATCATTCAACTCCAAGTTTGCCAATTCAGAGTTCTTAGTTAGCTTCACTGCTACATTAACAAATTCAAAAAACGGCATTTTCTTAGCATTTACAAAAAGTTTCGCTATGTCTTCTCTAGCTTCTCTGTGACTTAAAGGAAGATGAATAGTGACATCAAGCTTCCGCTTGACTTTAAATTCTCCATAAGTGTCTAATTTTGGCTGCAAAATCTCTGAATTCAGAAGCAATTTCTCTAGTATAAACTTGAACCTCTCTGCTCGCTCTCTGTTGTTGTCCGTCTGAGCATCGCCAGAGATTAGAAGTGTGTTATTTGCTTTAAAATATTTTAAATATAGAGCACTTTTCTTCCGATTAATCCACTTCAGATTGAATACTCCAGATAAACTTTCTGAAGAAGTTTTCACTTGCTTGTGATATCTTTCTTTGAGAAAATATAACGCATCCAAGACTGTAGAATCATGATCCAAACAAAAAGAGTTCCGAGATCCTTTCTTCTCAGGCATTCATGGCTGTTTGAACTTCTTTATCACATCTTTGTCTATCAAGATATCTGGGTACTTGAGTGCGAAGATCTCTTCTACGAGAGAATTATAGTTGTGCGCGTCTTGTGTTTGATCATAATACTTTGGCCAAGTTAGAAAAACTCCTATCATTCAGACTATGAACCAGACAATGAAATTTATTAAACTTCTCTTGGACAGTCAATAAGCATCCATTTTTAAAAATTTTATGTTTCCATTTCAAAAATCCATAAAAGGGGTTTTGGGGTTTTGGGGTTTTGGGGTTTTGGGG